TGGTAAAACATCAAAACATCCAGGCGTCCTCTGGGCAACGTCCTTGCAGACAGACATAAGCATCTTGTAGTTTCTCAAGTCGGTCCTGACACACAAATCATTTACTTTAAAGTCATCTATTTTTGGGTTTTTCAGTGTTTGCATTTAGAAGTGAGCTGTGAGTCTAAATGTGCAACAGGGCAAAGAGGGTGGCTCAAAGGGAGAGCATGCCTTTGCCATTGTCTCTCTCCCTCTGGCGGTAACTGTAGGTATCCTTTCCAATTTGCAAGGCAAACGGGTTCGAATTGCGCACTCGAAAAATCCCTGAATGTTTCACCCGAAGCATTTCTGATCAGTAATCAATCAGGATTTGCATAAACGGCTTGCATGCCATCCAGCCCAACAAAGCCTTGGCTTGCATATTTAAGATATTGCGTGCGACAGGCGGAGCTTTTCTCTGTCAGATTCAACGGCGGCTTATGCAAAGCTGGGGTGTCCAGACACCCCTTTTTTATCACAACTAATCAGGAATTCCACTTTATGGGAAGGATAGTGAGTCTCAGATTATGGCTCTGGAGAGTCGAAGCCCCACTAATTCATCCGTGGGCAAGTCACACTCTCTCAGCCTCAGAGAGTAAGGCGACTCCATGATAGGGTCACCTTGAGGTCTCCATAGGTCAGACACGACTGGAAGGCACACAATGAACAAGGACTTTCTCAACCCTAGTGCAAATGGGGATAGTAGGACCTCATCACATTGAGATATGCTCAATTTCTAAGACTCTTTGAACACAATTCCAGATGGGTCCTATCCCATGATGTTTGCTCCATTCCATCAGTAATTTGTTGCAAAAAGAGGATTGTAATTGCGGTTTTTTATTAAGTATGATTGTATATATTGCTGAGCTGCTGTTTCGATATGTGATTGGAAAATGAGAATGCAGTCCAACAGCAAAAATCTCACAAGAACGGGAACTTAAGACTTCCAGGCTACAGCAGTGCTCTCTCTCTCTCTCTCTCTCTCTCTCTCTCTCTCTCTCTCTCTCTCTATATATATATATATATATATATATATATATATATATATATGAGAGATAGATAGATAGATAGATAGCTAGATAGATAGATAGATAGATAGATAGATAGATAGATAGATAGATAGATAGATAGATAGATGTACAGAGGCATTTGAATGGACTGGGAGAAGCCAGCCTTCTGTGGTTTGATGACTCAAAGTGTAGTATTTTCTAAACATAAGAATCACAGGATACAGGTGTGATGAGGTGGGTATGCATCCTGTCTCAATAGAGGATGCACCCAGTCCTAAAAATATACAGGATGTATACTGATATCCCAATGTGATAAGGTCCGTAGTTGCATTGTTTTCAGACTTGACAAGACTCTCCATCTTTTCCTCCTATAATTCTAGAAGCCTTGGAAACACTAAGGAATCAGGAAGGTTACCAAGGGAAAGAGACACACATTCTTCTGCCGTTGGACCATTCAGGTCCACAAAAACCTGATACTGAATACATGTATATACATATAAGGCAGGAATTCACCATCAAAACAGAAATCCACCACAACAACAACATATGTTGTCGAAGACTTTCATGGCCGGAATCACTGGATTGCTGTGAGTTTTCCGGACTCTATGACTATATGTTCCAGAAGCATTCTCTCCTGACAGATAGATGGCCATCTGTCAGGGGTGATTTGAATGCAATATTCCTGCTTCTTGGCAAGGGGTTGGACTGGATGGCGCATGAGGTCTCTTCCAACTCTTTGATTCTATGATTCTATGATTTTGACCACATCTATGGCAGGCATAGTCAGAGGTTGTGTGAGGCACTTGCCTAGTTTCCAATAGACCTCACAACCTCTGAGGATGTATGGGCAAAACGTCAGGAGAGAATGCTTCTGGAACATGGACCTACATGGTTTAGTGCAGGGGTCCTCAAACTAAGGCCGGAGGGCCAGATAAGGCCCTCCAAGGTCATTTACCTGGCCCTTGCTCAGGGTCAACCTTAGTCTGAAATCACTTGAAAACACACAACAACAACAATCTCATCAGCCAAAAGCAGGCCCACACTTCCCATTGAAATACTTGTTAAAATTGTACTTCATTTTACTTATTGCATTGTTTTAAAGTGGTTTTGCACTAAAAATAAGATATGTGCAGTATGCACATATACATACACATATATAAAACAGTGGAACTCTCTGCCCCAGAGTGTGGTGGAGGCTCCTCCTTTGGAAGCTTTTAAACAGAGGCTGGATGGCCATCTGTCAGGGGTGATTTGAATGCAATATTCCTGCTTCTTGGCAGGGAGTTGGACTGGATGGCCCATGAGGTCTCTTCCAACTCTTTGATTCTATGCATAGGAATTCATTCGTGCTTCTTTTCAAATTATAATCTGGCCCTCCAACAGTTTGAGGGACTGTGATCTGGCCCTCTGTTTAAAAAGTTTGAGGACCCCTGGTTTAGTGGCTTGAATGTTGGCCTATGAGACCCAAGTTCGACTCCCCACTAAGCCATGGAAACTCACTGAATTAACTCCACTGGGGCTGGATCTATACTGCTATATAATCCAGTTTTTGAATCCAGATTATCTGCTTTGAACTAGATGATATCAGTCTACACTGCCATACAATCCAGTTCAATGCGGTTAATCTGGATTCAGAAACTGGATTATATGGCAGTGTAGATGGGGGCTGCGTCACACGCTGGCAACCTCAACGTAAAGCCATGACAAACGCTCTTGAGTAAATCTCTATTACCGCACATTGGGGTCAACCCGAAGGCACATTGCAACGACAACAAACATCTTTTCAGATGGACACGCTTCACTGGAAGTGGTTTGTGGACGAAGAATATGTTTATGCCCCTGAACTGAAGTTCTGCTGAGGAAGTGTTTTGGGGTGAGTCACTTCACCCCTTTGCCTTCGAATGATGCTATTATTCCCTGAGTCAACACAACTAAGAGGTTGGACCTCCCTTTTGGAAGCCTTCCATATTCCGCATGATAAAACAGAACCCGAACCCGTGCCAACAAACACACATGTCACAACTGATGCGTGTTTCTTCCCCTGAAACTACATGCCTTTTAAAGTTGTGTTTCCTACTCCAGAATGGAAGGACAAAATCTGTGCTAAATCCCATTGGCATCCATGGGGTTTCTTTCTCTGCTTCAAATCACAATCCATAAAATGCCATATATTAAAGCAGGACCATTTAGGAGTCCCTACACCAAAATGCAAGGATGAAATCCGGTGTCTATTCTTATGCAGAACTCTCAGTGACATCTCATAGGGTTTATTTCTAAGCAAAGACCCTCTCTACTCCAAATCACAATCCATAATCAATGCAATTTATTAAAATAAGATCCTTTAGATCAGTGTTTCTCAACCTGGGAGTCCAGACCCCGGGGGGGGGGGGTGTCACAAGGGGGTGTCAAAGGGGTCGACAAAGACCATCAGAAAACATTTTCTGTTGGTCATCAGGGATCTGTGCGGGAAGTTTGGCCCAATTTTATCATTGGTGGGGTTCAGGATGCTCTTCGATTGTAGGTGAACTACAAATCCCAGCAACTACAACTCCCAAATGTCAAGGTCTATTTTCCCCAAACTCTACCAGTGTTCACATTTGGGAATATTGCGTATTAGTGGCAAGTTTGGTCTGGATCCATCATTGTTTGAGTCCACAGTGCTCTCTGGATGTAAGTGAACTGCAACTCCCAAACCCAAGGTCAATGACCACAAAATCCTTCGAGTCATGGGAGTTCTGTGTGCCAAGTTTGGTTCAATTTCATCATTGGTGGAGCTTAGAGTGCTCTTAGATTGTAGGTGAACTATAAATCCCAGCAACTACAACTCCCAAATGACAAAATCAATCCCTCCCAATCCCGCCAGTATTCAAATTTGGGCATATTGAGTATTTGTGCCAAATTTGGTCCAGTGAATGGAAATACATTCTGCATATCAGATATTTACATTACGATTCATAACAGTAGCAAAATTACAGTTATGAAGTAGCAACGAAAATTATTTTATAGTTGGGGGTCACCACAACATGAAGAACTGGATTAAGGGGTTGCGGCATTAGGAAGGTTGAGAAACCCTGCTTTAGATATTCTGCAAAAGAGATGCATGGAAGACGTTCTGCGGCAGCAAAATGTTTAAACTCTTCGAGTCAACCTCATTCACAATATTTTGGGAAATAAAACCAGAGGGAGTTTCCCAAACACAGCACACTTTCAATGCAATCGACCTTCAAAGGGTATTTATAGTACAACCCCCGAATCTGTGGGATCGATATCCACAGTTTCCTTTATCCACGTCCAGCAAAATATGTCCTTTCTAGGCATTTTCTAGGTCCTCCAAAGCAACTATATGATATTCCCAGACCCAGAGTCCTTCATTTCAACTATTTCCAACTATTTTCAACTATTTCTAGCTCCAGCAGAGAAGAGCTCTTTGCCCCACCCCAGCCATTCCACAGATATATAAACCCATTGTCCTAATTCCAACAGACCTCACTACCTCTGAGGATGCTTGCCATAGATGCAGGTGAAACGTCAGGAGAAATGCCTCTAGAACATGGCCCTATAGCCCGAAAAAACCCACAAGAATCACATAAGAACTGTTCCATTCTCTTCCAGAGAATGGAAACTAACATCTTTTTCAACTGCTGTCATTCTCAATTTATGATCCTGCTCAAATTAAAGCAATTGGCTTTCGAGTGAAAGGAGAAAAGGGATTGTTTTTTAATCACCAAACATGTTGCCAAAAGCTTCCTGGATCTCCCCCAGAATCACCACGGGTTTACTTAGTGCAAAATAATAAAGTATTAAAGGCGATACGCACCGTAAAAGCTTTCTGCTATGATTACAAAGATTGGCCAAACCACAATGAAAAAGCACCGTATGATCCTTTGATCATATCAGAACGGAATCCAAAACTTTCCACCAAAATCCTTTACATACTTTGGGAAGTAATTCTTTAAAAAGCCATCCACTTACTCAATCTCGTTCGACATGTTCCTCCAAAGATCTTCCAGTGCTTTGCCAGGAAAAAATAAATAAATATAGATCTCGATAGAGCTGTATCTTCCGAGACTGGGCTTCCCGAACCTCGCCTAGTGCCTTCCAAAGAGAGACATCACCTGTAAAGTGAAGAGGCTGGAATCAGGTTAGAGGTTTATGTTGTGCAGGCATTTCTTCTGACAGGTAGTTAATCTCCAGCTCTGGCTTCTGATTGGCTGAAAGGGACAGGTGCCAGGAGACAGGTACACTCCAGCAGGTGCAGCCCTTAACCCTTTGCAAACCCCCCAAAAAGCCAACGGGATCCAGGCGTTTCCAAGCAGGTAGAAGGAGACGCAAAGGAAAATTCCTTCAGGGCGGAAGGAGAGGAGGAGGAAATAAAGGGTGGCCTTGTGAAGGGAAGATTTCCGTGCTCCTTTGCAGGGCTTTTGGGGTACCTGCCTTGTTGGAAGATGCATCAGAAAACAAGTTGCCCATTTTTGGAACAAGATTTGATTTCTTATTACAGGGATATTTTGAAATAAAAAACTCAACTTCGGTAGGACATTCATTTTAATTAAAGATATTCGACTAGTAAGGATAAATTGAGATGGTTCCATTTTTGAAGGTCTTTTTGAAATCTTCTTCCATATCATTTCATAATTATTTTTTAAAAGCTGAGCATTTCTCTCTGAAAGCCAGATTCCTAAATATTTTCTTTTCTTTACACTTTCTACCCCAAATTGTTTTTGAATCCTCTCTTGTTTTTCTTTCTCTACATTTTAAAATAGTAATTTCATTTTTTTCATATTCATCTTGAATCCGGCCACTTTTCCAATTTCTTTTAGTTTGGTAAACCAATTCTGTAAGTTTTTATCTGGGTCTTCAATTATTCCTAACAGATCATCTGCAAATGCTCTGATTTTATATTCAAATTTCCCAATTTTAGCTCCTTTAATATTTCCATCTTCTCTAATTTTTTTTCATCAAGACCTCCACAGCCATTATGAATATCAATGGGGATAGGGGACACCCTTGTCTCGTGCCCTTCGAAATATCAAATTCTTGTGTCATGTGGCCATTTATCTTAACTTTGGCCTTTTGTTGGTTATAGATTGCATTTACTGCATTGTTGAATTTTTTTCCCATATCCAATTCTCTTATTAATGTCTTGAAAAAATCCCAATTCAGATTATCAAATGCTTTCTCAGCATCAATTGATAAGATGGCAAATTCTTTTTGATGGTTAATCTCATAATATTCCAGAAGATCCAAAACCGTGCGAATATTTTCTTTCATATGTCTATTCGGGAGGAACCCCGTTTGTTTCTCTTCAATCCAGTCCTTTAAAAACTCTTTTAGTCTTGTGGCCATAATGTTTGCAAATATTTTATAATCTGTATTTAACAAAGAGATCGGTCTATAATTCTTAATGTCCGTGTCCAGTGTTCCTTCCTTATGTATTACTGTGATTTCTGCTTCATTCCAGGAGTCTGGTATTTTTTGGTATTTCATTGCCTCATTTAGGATATCATCTGTATAGAAAGGATAAAATTGAGTCCATGCACAAATTCAGGGCAAGACAACAGCTATCTAGATTCAGCTGTCCTTTGTGGTTGTACCCAGGTTGTTATTGTTTGTTACTATTATAGATAGAGCCATGGGAAATTCAGGGCAAGATGACAGCTCTTTGGATTCAACTGTCCTTTGTGGTTTTACCCAGGTTGTTGTTGTTGTTGTTACTGTTATTATTATTACTATTATAGACAGAGCCATGGGAAATTCAGGGAAAGACAACAGATCTCTGGATTCAACTGCCCCTTTTGGTTGTACAGTCCCCAAAAGGGTTGTACAGTCATCATTGTCATCATCATAATCATCATATACCTAACAAGATTAGTGCACAGCGAACATGATCACCATGCTGGCTTTTGTATTTGATCACACCTCGGATACTTCCCAAGTGTCTAGGACTGTGTGATGTATCCGAATAATGTGTGCAGATCCAAATAGGGTGGCCTCTTGCAACTACAGATGGTTATTATTATTATTATTATTATTGGGTTGTTGTAGGTATTTTCGGGCTATATGGCCATGTTCTAGAGGCATTCTCTCCTGACGTTTCGCCTACATCTATGGCAAGCATCCACAGAGATCTCACTACCTCTGAGGATGCTTGCCATAGATGCAGGCAAAACGTCAGGAGAGAATGCCTCTAGAACATGGCCATATAGCCCGAGAAAACCTACAACAACGCACTGATTCCGGCCATGAAAGCCTTCGACAATTATTATTATTATTATTATTATTATTATTATTATTATTATTATTTAGATAGAGAGATCCATGGGAAAATTCAGAGGAAGACAAGAGCTCTCTGGATTCAACTGCCCTTTGTGATTGTACCCAGGTTGTTGGTGTTGTTGTTGTTACTATTATAGATAGAGCCATGGGAAATTCAAAGCAAGAAAACAGCTTTCTGAATTCAGCTGCCATTTGTGATTGTACTCAGGTTTTTTTTCCTACTACTGCTACTACTACTATTACTGTTATGGCTATTATTATCACCATCATCAGATAGATGGCAGATAGATAGATAGATAGATAGATAGATAGATAGATAGATAGATAGATGATAGATAGATATGTAGATAGATAGAGTGAGCCATGGGCAAATTCCGGGCAAGATAACAGATCTGTGGGTTCAACTGCCCTTTGTGATTGTACGTACCATTTTTGCACATAAAGCATTCTTGCTGCTGAAAACATCATGTAATAACTTGATATTCATATTTTTGTTTGTTCATGTGGATGTCCCCATAAAAAAAAGTTGCACCTAGTTGTCTTCTGGTAAGATCTCTTGTGTCAAATGTTGATTCTGGTAATTTTAGGATGGGAAGCTTTTCACATCTGTGCGTTGTCCTAGTGTGCATCTACACTGCAGAATGAACGCAGTTTGGCCCCACTTGGACTGCCCTGGCTCAAGGATATACAGTCCTGGGAGCTGTAGTTCTATGGGAAGTTGTAGTTCTACAGGGCCATTAGCTTTCTCTGCCCAAAGACTTTTGATGCCTCACTGAACTACAGACAGGGGCGGCTCAACCATTACGCAAAGTAAGCACTTGCAGTATAGTTGATTTTGCCCAGGGGCGCTCTTGGGGGAAAATAGACCTTGACATATGCGAGTTGTAGTTACTGGGATGTATAGTTCACCTACAATCAAAGAGCATTCTGAACTCCACCAATGATGGAATTGAACCAAATATGGCACACAGAACTCCCAAGACAAACAGAAAATATATATCAATGATTGGTTGGGGGGGGGGGGGGCGCCGAAATACTGTTTGTTTACCATTGAAAATTACCTAGGGCCGCCTCTAACTAAGATCCCAAGACTGCATAACCTTGAGCCTTGGCAGTTAAAGTGGCATCAGACTGCATCTATTCTACAGTGTTGATGTGCCCTTGAACTCAATTGAAGCAAGCAGAAAAGAAGGGTGGGAGGAGCAGAGAGAAACCAGGACATTGTAAAGTCAGCTGAGAAGTGGGATGGCAGAGGATCAATGGGATTTTCCTTTTGTCCTGATGAGTTAATGGGATGCAGACAACTTTTTGTAGCCAAAAGAGGGAAAGTGGGAGGAGAGGAAAACTAGGGCGTTTTATAAGCAGCTGAAAAAGTGTGATAAGAGAATTAATCGCGATTGTCCCTGATTCATCGTGACAATTGAAAAGTATAATATATGCAGACCTGAGGATCAGCTGGTGATTTGAATGCCAAATCAGGTAACTGTATGATAATGCGGTTTTGCAATGTGGGCCATTAGAGTGACTCAGCCCAAAGGTGCCTTCCAATGCCTCCCATTAAAAGGTGGGTCATATTAACATCTCAAAGGAGTGGCTGCAATCACTTTGGGTGCATCTAGAAGGCAGAATGAATGAACGGGCAGTTTGACACCGCTTTAATTGGCAGGGCTCCATGCCATGGGATCCCGGGAGTTGTCGTTTTGCAAGGCCTTTGGCTTCTCTGCCCAAGAGCGCTGTTGCCTCACCAAACTACAACTCCCAGGATCCAAGGCATTGAACCATGGTAGTCCAAGCAGTATCAAACTGCATTCATTCTATAATGTAGTTGCACCTCCCTGAATCAGTGCCTTGTCCTTGCCCAGTGTTTGGCTTCTCGGCCGCCATGTGTGTCTTACTTTGTGGCTCTCTTCCAGTCCTGTCGCTGGGCTTAAAGGCTCGATGCTAAGGCTGGGTGAAAATAGTTTAAATAGTTCAAATGTTTGATTGTAAAGACTCATAAAAGAAGGCTGCAATCTGGGCAGCGCAATCCCCAAACATATTGACTCAGGGGCAGTAAATCCCACCAAAGTTCATTGGGATTTATGTCCAAATAAGTGAGCTCAGGCTTGCAGTTTTAGTGGCTTATCCAGGTTGAGTAATCGAACCCAAAAGATTGGGTTTGGCATTGAGAAGAATAGAAAGAGAGCCTCATCTGATTCTAAGGGTGCATCTACACCAGGCATGGGCAAACTTTGGCCCTCCAGGTGTTTTGGACTTCAACTCCCACAATTCCTAACAGTCTCAGGCCCTTTCCTTTCCCCCCTCAGCCGCTTAAGCAGAAAAGGAAAAGAAAGGGGCTTGAGGCTGTTAGGAATTGTAGGAGCTGAAGTCCAAAACACCTGGAGGCAGGGGCGGCTCAACCCATTACGCAAAGTAAGCATTTGCAGTATAGTTGATTTTGCCCAGGGGCGCTCTTGAGGCACTTTTGGGGGAAAATAGACCTTGACATATGCGAGTTGTAGTTACTGGGATGTATAGTTCACCTACAATCAAAGAGCATTCTGAACTCCACCAATGATGGAATTGAACCAAATATGGCACACAGAACTCCCACGACGAACAGAATATATATCAGTGATTGGTTGGGGGGGGGGCGCCAAAATACTGTTTGCTTACCGTTGAAAATTTGTAGGTGCACTACAAATCCCAGCAACTACAACTCCCAAATGTCAAGGTCTATTTTCCTCAAGCTCCACCAGTGTTCACATTTGGGCATATTGAGTATTCGTGCCAAGTTTTGTACAGATCCATCATTGTTTGAGTCCACACTGTTCTCTGGATGTAGGTGAACTACAACTCCCAAACTCAAGGTCAGTATCCACCAAACCCTTCCAGTATTTTCTGTTGGT